CCCGGGACAGCTGAGTGGCGGGGATGCAGCCTCCAGGCAGCCGGACCAGCTGTTGCTGTGGTGGCGGCAGCTGACGTGACCCCTGGGGCTCCCGGGGCACAGGGGCTTCATGGTGCTCCGGCTGCGGGGGGTCTGCCTGCACGTACACCCCATAGCGCTCTGCTTTGTACACACGAGTGTGTGCGCAGTGTATTCAGCAGTTTCCCGTTGCTGCCCGAGCGTGCAAGGACTCGCCTTTACTTTCTGTCCTGAGCGGCTGGCGAGAGCAGGCCTCCCGTCCCCACCAGGGCAGCAGACCCATTTCCTTTCGGCGAACCCTGAGGGTTTGTGGGATTCTCCTTCGTGAAGCTGTAAAGTCCAGTCATGGTGCTGGTTAGACTGGGATTTGCTAGCAGAGAGAGCAGCCCCTCGAGAGCACAATGCAGGTGAAGCCCTGAGACCATGCAGCAAGGCCATGGGGAGAGGACCCAGGGCTCGGGTCATCCCACGGCCAGACTCGGGTTTGTCACGATCCTACCAAAATGGAGCACGCTCTCAACATACATGGGGGCACTCGCGCACTGCCTGGCAGCCGCAGTGCCGTCTCGGACGGGGATGCTCACTTGTTCCTGTGGTACCTTCACTTAAAGAAAAAAATAGGAAATTAGTGAAATTAATAGTTGTTGTTTTTGTCTTTTTCTGAAAGTTTGTCCTGCATCCCTTGCTAGGCTGTTTATCTCAGTTTTCACTCTTTACTGCCTTAAAGTTGTGGTTTTCAGCCAGGGGCACAGGGCACCCTGTAGTGACACTGGACCCTTTGAAGGGTGCTGTGAGGTGTGAAGAGATAAGCCAGGTATGAGAAGATAAGCGTAAACTAAGTAGATAAACACAGGCTCGGGTGTGTCCCTGCCTGGAGGATCCCCCCCACGCTGGCTGCCCAGCCCTTCTGCAAAGAGGTGGCTATTGTAATATATAAACTAGCTTTTGAAATTGGGTGTCGCTCAATTTGCAGATGTTGTGGAGGGGTCTCAAATCCAAAAAAGGTAAAGAACCAACCACTGCCTCAAAGCAATGCAACATAACCAGTAATCATTTTGCAAGCTGGCTCAGGGGCAACTGGGGAGGATGGTCAGCTTTGCCCTATTCTGGAATCGAGACAAGTGAAGACGGTTGGTCCGTGTTTCCCTGGGAATGACCAGTGTGAGGGACCTCCACCCCTTTCCCAGATGTTGAGGCTGTGACCCAGACTTTTTTTTCTGCTCTACTAGCCCACCTCCTTTTCCTTCAGGCACTTTGTGCTGCTGGCTGTAGTACTGTGCTGTTCAATGAATTTCACACGCTGCGTTGATGATGAATTCTTACTGAACATTACGTTACCAAAGCAAGCACAAAAATGAATGGAAAGGATGTTTTTTTTTGTTAACTTAGTACAATGGTGCAACGTAACAGCGAATCTGTGGAGCTTCATGTTGGGTCACAGATGAGGTCTCGTCTTTGCTGTTCTTGCTGTCCAGCTACACGGTTTGCCTGCCAGGTTACTGATCACCTGCACTGCTGTTTGCACCCTGCAGGTGGTCTAGTTTAAATCAGTGGTGTCAAACTCACCTTGCTTCCTGGGTTGGCTCCAGACCCTGGAGCTTCTTCCAGGCCAGATCCAGCTTGGGGCACGTAGTGGCAGGAACTCTGGTTCTGGCATGGGGGTTACAGTGCACTGGCTCCGGCATGGCATAGCCATGGGACCAGTGTCTGAGGGGCTGGGGCCGCAGCAGTAGCGATGGGCAAAGCTACCTGGGCTGTATCATCCCTGGCTTGCACTGCTGTGGCCAATCACCACGTGCACCAGGGTCCGAGGTCCCTGGATTCTGTGGCAGGCCATGCCTCTTGCCCCACTACTTTTGGTGGCCTACCAATAGCCCAGCCGGCTGGATTGCATGGCTCTGTGGAATGGATCTGGCCCATGGGCTGTGCACTTGACACCCGTGTTTTAAGTGGGGAAAAAGAAAAGAGCTTGTTTCAGCTGAAAGCTCAGCATTTCAGAAAGCCAGGAATCTTCCTTCCTTCCCTGAGAGGATAGGTTGTTTTGAGGCTTTCACAGTGTTTCACTGAGGTATTTACAATCTCTCTTAAGAAGATTATCCCCGTAGGGAGAACGTACCATTCTCCCAGTCCCTTCTAAACGTCACAAAGGGGCAGGCCTTCATTAAACTACTGAAATCTGCAACAAGCTGTGAGTGTGAGCTTTCAGAAAGTTCCAGGGAAATGTAGGGTTAAAATGTGTGTGCCTATGGAGATGTTTTTAGTGAATTCTGCAATATGCAACATGGTGAACTATGGTTGTTCTGAGTAATCTTGCATTTATGTTGCCTCGTGTGTGTGTGTTCAGTTTCCACCGTAATGTGGACATTTTGCATTTAGGACAGTCAGACCATAGTTGTGGACATCTTATGAATGTGTGCAGAACTTGAATTCTTTTTTTGGTTAAAAGGGGGAAACAAAACTTTCTTGTTGATTGATTTTTATTTTACTTTTTTTTTATGTAGGAGATTTGGTACTCGGGTACGTCGAGTATCAAATAAGCTACATTTAGTGAGCTTATTTGTAAACAGTGTCAATCAATTAAAGGAGATGAAAGATAAACAGTAACAAATATATTTTTAAAAATAGGCTACTAAAACTACAGAAATGGCTATTAACTTGAGCTTGAATTCTGATCATTCATATTTTGTGCGACTCGGAGACTGAAATGGTCTCACATCTTTGCTCTCGCCCAAAGAGGTACACAGTAGGTTGAAGTCTAGTGAAGGTTTATCTCTCTAAACATGTCCGGGAGTTTTTTTTTTTCCCATTTTGTATGTCTTAAATAATGGAATCTAGATTTCTGCATCTGAACTAATAGGCGCATACTCTTTGTTATTTACTTACTGTCTAGCTTCAGTGTTATAAAGATCACCTAAGATTGCTGTATGTTACAGGTTGCTATCTGCTTACTGAAGAGTGTTTCCTGGGCTGTCCATCCTTGCATTCGTCATTCTGCAGGTGAATCTCTGCCTTTCAGGATTGCATATCATCCTGTTGGCAACTTGAGGTTTGTTTACCTGGACAGATGCAATCAGAAAGGTGCTCTGGAGCAGAATTGGGAACTTGTTTACATTTGTTATATTTTGGTTGCTTTCAGGGCAATAGACCCTCTTTTAGTGACATGTCAGTTTGACTATTTAATAGCTGAAATTAGCGTGTCTAGCCAGATACACATGTACGAGCCCTTACGTCAGTGAAGAAAAATGGTATTTTGTGTGTGTAATATCTACCCTTGTGTGTTTTGGCTTTCTCGGCTAATATATTAAATTTGGCAAAGGCCTCATTCCTCAAAGGAATACACTCATGCCAAGTTTCAACTTGAAAACGGAAGTTTGAGTTTACTAGATTGCATGAGTGTTTGAAAATATTTCCTGAAGTGCAGAACAGTCTTTGCGTTAAAAAATACAGACCTCTGGGATTTTTTTGAGATTCCTCAAAATATACTTACCTTTGAGTTGAGGACCAGCACAAGAAACTTGCATTCCAAAAGATGCGTTTGTTTGAAGAGAGGCTTAAAATTGAAGTGCTCCTTCAAGCATGGTGCTTGCTTCGTGGTAAGTGGTTCACAGCATTGGTTTTGATGGATGTTTTGATATAAGCCTGTAGAAGGTTAGGGTGATGTGCTAATTCATGCCATGTCTTGTATGAATGAAGGAAGAACCAAGCCACTCTAAGGCATATGTTGTTGGGGATTATGTTAAATCGGTCCATTTTCAGAAATGGTCTTTACCAAAATGTATGTGGTTGTATTTGTCTCTCTCACTTCCCTGTTTGTACCCTGTTTTTCCTTAGTGGCACAGGAAACTAGGAAGGAGATGTTTGTTGTTTTGGTGTGATAGGCTAATAAAAGAGCCATGTGTAGCTGATACAGAGGAAGAAGTTTGCTTACCGCATGTAAATAAACTAAGTTTCCATGGTTCAGGGTCTGGGCTGGTTACTTCTTAGGGGAGATCTGCAAAAGCAAGCAAACAAAACCTCAGCCTGGAGTGTTGCAGCAAGTAGCCCTGGGCATTGCACAGGTAGGAGTTTTTCTTTGAGTTCAAGAAACAAGCACGCTTGTAAAAGGCGCATGTTTGGCTGAAGAATGGGGTCTTCCTGCGGATTCATAGAAGAGGGCCCTGAGCCCTTGTGATAAAGATGATGCCACTCCTTATGAAGAGTAGGAAGGGTTAGCCCTTCAGCTCCCACCTAAAGTTGAACTTGGGACATTACTTTACTTGGTTCTCTTTCATTGTCAAATGGAGAAGTTCTTCTTCCCTTATGGACAAACTATCCTGTAATATTGCTAGTGTAGTGGCTGCATTTTAGTTGGCTAGTAAGTGATCGGTGAGGGTTGTATTTATACGTGTACAAGTCACACGTACTTAAACTGTGCACATGCAGTTACGGCTTATGCTTCACAGGCTTGGTGAGTGTGCAATAGAAAGCAAAGGACACTGATAGCACATCAGCATGCTAGACCTGCCTCGTTCCCTGTGAGTTTCTGTTCACTTTAGCAGTTGTTTTGAGTACACACTGCAGTCGCCTTCTTGCACTTTTCCTATATCCCACAAAAATTACCTCAAGGCGTGATTTTATAGAGTGGCTGAATGACCAAAATGCAGTA